TTTGATTTGTAGTGTTTTGATTTGATTTGTAGTGTTTTGATTTGATTTGCAGTTTTTTTTATTTGTTGTTCGGTGTTTTGATTTGTAGTTTTGTTTTGTTTTTTTATTTGTAGTGTTTTGATTCGTTGTTTTTTGGTTCCGTTTTTTATTTGTAGTGTTTTGGTGTTGTGTTTTGATTTGTTGTTTTGATTTGTAGTTGTGTTTTGATTTGTAGTTGTGTGGTTTGTTTGTTTTGGGTTGTTGTTCTGTTTTGATTTGTAGTTTTTCGAATTAGGGATGCACCGATCCACATTTTTTACATCCGATCCCGATATCTAAATCTAAATGTTGGCCGATACGATCCCGTTCCGATATCATGATCATCATTGATTTTATATGAGGCTGTAATAATCTCCTCTCAAGTACAATTTGTACAAATATATGCATGCATGTTCAAAAAGGCAACTTGAGGTATGTTTTTTTAATGTTGGATAAGTTTTAAAGTTAGAATTAAATTCTGCTAACACAAAACATGTTTATTTTTATTCCTAGTTTAAAAGTGGATATTAAAGTGATTAATTTAAGTGATTGTTTAAAGTTATTTTATATTTTTTTAAATAAGGGGCAGATATAAGAATTATTTTTCTTCTTCCTGCACTCCTTTCATTCAATGTTTTCTTTTTGATGATTTTTTTATTTTTTATTTTGTTTCTTTTAAATGAATGAATAAATTAATAAAATAAAATAAAATGTTAAATGGCTTCAAACAGCTGGCATAAACCGACAGACATGTTCCTGTTTTTAGTATTTTACATCACTTTATAATGTAGCTGTTTTTGTTTATAATATAATTTTCAAATCATGTTTTTTTTTATGATTGTTTTCTGTTGTACTGATAAATATCTCCTGCAGGGTAAACTATATCTTGGCTGCAAGTATCAAGCTGAGAAATCCTTCGTTTTCTACAACTGATAGTGGTTGGTCATTAATTACGATGAAGTTTAGCAACTTCTCTGTAAACATTTTAGCTCCATGGTTTCAGCGATGTCTACTTCTTGTTCAATCCGAAGCAAGCAGCCTGATTTGGGCCTCCTCAGAGACGGGCAGACTGAGCAGGGCAGATTGGATGCGGCTGGCCGGGGTCGAGTCACCTGTTGTGGGTTGAGCAAAGAGCAGCGCCCCGCTGAAGCCATGGAGCTCGAATGTCCAAAGTAAAACTAACTTTACCGCGGTTTAATGTGGTGCTATAGCTCTGCAGACATTGCACGTTGCTGTCTTGTTTTGTGGTGTTTAGTGTAAAATACTTCCACACAGCGGACATGTTTAGATGAAAAGTTTGTAAAGTTGGTTAGCTGTTAGCCACGGTGCTGCTAACTCAGCCCTCACGTTGTAGCTGGCTGCAAACTATGAACTGGATTTCCTGAATGTGAGGCGGGTCTTATTACTCTGGGTTCATGAGACACGCCGCCGTTCAGGAAATCCATTCCATAGTTTGAAGCCAACATGCATCATGCATCGGAAATATCGGCAGGTGGATCGGAAAAATCCAGCACGTAAATTATGCTGGTATCGGAGGCCAATACTGGATCGGATCGGCCCCATCCCTATTTCGAATTGTAGTGTTTTTATTTATAGTGTTTCGAATTGTAGTGTTTTGATTTGCTGAGTTTTGATTTATTGTTTTGATTTGTAGTTGTGGTTTGATTTGTTACGTTTTGGTTTGCTGTTGTGCGTTCTGATTTGTAGTTTTATTTTTTTGTGTTTTGATTTGTAGTTTTTTGATTTGTTGTGTTTGGATTTGTATATATTTTTTGGTATAATTTTGATGTGTAGTGTTTTGATTTGTAATTAAAAAAAACATTTTTATGTGTTTTTGTAGTTTTTTCGATTTGTAACATTTTGATTTGCAGTGTTTTGATTTGTAGTTTTTTTTGATTTGTAGCAATTTGATTTGTAACATTTTAGTTTGCAGTGTTTTGATTTTGTAATTTTTTGATTTATAGTTGTGGTTTAAACTTCAGGGTCATCGTAAGAAACTGACTTTAATACTGAAACAATTATTAATCTCATCATAATCATTCAGTCTCAATAAAAAAAATTTAAATCTTAATGATGTTTTGTTGTGTTGTTTGAAGGTTGGACAACCTGCTGAACATGGCTTACGGAGTGAAAAGGTAAACTTTGTTCGTTTCTGAATTTTATATTTTTTTGCTTAAATAAATCTTGAGGGAGTCCTGACTGAAAGAGCCTTATGTATTGTTGCATAAACTGTTAGCACTGCACAAGGCTGCTCTGATTCAGTAAGAGCTTGTTGATGAAATATAAAGGGTGTCTGCAGATAAATATACACAGAAATCAGTGGGAGTGAAGGAAATTGGTGATTTAATTTCACAGCAAACAAAGAAGTAAATATTCACAAAGTGTGTTTGAAAATGAAGCTTCTGTTGCTCCTGTAATGAAATCCTGACTGGATGTTGTCCAGCGATTTTCATAAAAGCCAGAGATCACAAACAAATGCCAATTTAGCTCTTTACTTCATTTTTACATAATCGTATGATTTATTCACAACAATTAACTTTTTGATGCTTAAAATGAAGGTTGGATGGAAAAATGAGCTCTTTGTTTTTTCAGCTCCATAATGTAAACAAAAACTTGATTTGCTCTAACTGTCCAAATAGACATGCCCACCCTGTTATAATGTTTTTAATAAGTGCTCTTAATATATTCAAACATGAGAAAAGGACCGGAGTGACACCAGCGTTGACGTTTCTGGATGGCAGCATCACAAAGAACTGAATTTTTGCATTTCTCGTTATTGCATAAAATTGCATCCCTACATTTTAAGCTCCATTTCTTCTTCCCTTTTTTTTTTTTTTTTTTTTTTTTTTTTTTTTTACCTTGATCTATTATGGACAGCTTTGTCCTGTTTTTAAACTGTTGCGTCAGACATCTTTCAGGATTTGCCACAAGTATTGGTTTTGTCTAGTTTCAGTTTCCTGGAGTGTGATTGAAGTCCAGCTCTGTGGAAGCTCAAAGGGCCATCAGCACCAACAATAGACCTGTGATTTCTTTCTGTGCCTTGCTTGTTTGGCGTACGTCTTCGTTGCCAAATGTCTCCGCGGGCCCTTGATGCTGGGAGCACACCTGTCACAGTGGATGTTCCCCGAGAGGCCAACTGGAGCGGCTAATCGGATGAGACACCTGCTGCAATAATTCAAAGGCTTTCCAAGCGCTCTGAATCTTTTTTTATTTATTATTTTTTTAACTACGAAAACCACGTTTACTAATGGCCAGGGCTTTTCCGTGCCTTTTTATTCTAGTGCTGGCAAAAACTCAACATTGGCGTGGTGTTTACTTCCAATTATGACTTGCAGCCACCGATTTCAGGAGAAAGTATCATTGCTGTAGGAGTTTAAAGTAGATGTAGCTTTTAAAAAAATATATATTTTTGTTTGGCTATTTGGTTTACTTGAAAGAAGAAAATCTTAAACAAAATGATTCACTCTAACCCTAGAAATGACACATTGGAAGTTCTGTCAGCGCTCAAAGTATGTGTTGAGGTAGACTCGGCTACTACCGCACCAAGTTGTAGCTCAGTATCTGTAAAAGAGTAATAAACATATTATCTAAGGTTGATTAGTTATGGTGGCCATCTAGAATTAGGCTGTCTGTTATTGCCCACCTTTTATAGAAGGACATAAAAATGTACCAACGCTTCAATCTATTTATATAGTGGCAAGTCACAAGAGAAGTTGTCTCAGGGAACTGAACAGAAACATACATAAAAAGTAAGTTAATATTATTTATCTGAGGAGCAGACTGCTTTGAGTTTAACTCCATCACAGACTCTCATCTTGAGCAAATATGAAGGCGACAGTGGAAAGGAAAAACTCCCTCATGAGGAAGAAACCTTTAGCAGAACCAGGCTCAGGACAAGCGGTCATCTGCTTCGACTGGCAGGGTTTGGTAGGAACAGATGCACAATGGCAGGTCAAGAATCACATGTTAAGGTAGAAATAGTATCAAATAAAAACTATTTATTTGTTACAATTCATTTTAAGAAATGAGGTCAATTTGTCCTCCATTAAGCAGCATAACAATCCAACTCTAACTATAGGATTTATTAAAAAGGAAAGTCTTAAGCCCAGTCTTAAAACTGGACAATGTGTCAGCCTCATGGATGGAAACTGGAAGTTGGTTCCACAAGAGAGGAGCCTGATAACTGAAAGATCTTCCTCCCATTCTGCTTTTGGAAACTCTAGGAACCACAAGTAAGCCTGCAATCTGATAGCAAAGTGCTCTGTTAGGAAAATATGAGACAATAAGATCTGTAATATAAGATGGAGCTAGGATGTTGAGGGCTTTGTTTCTTAGAAGTAAGATTTTGAATTCAATTCTGAATTTGACAGGGAGCCAATGGAGAGAAACAAACTGGAGAGATATGATCTCTCCTACTAACTCCAGTTAAGACTCTGGCAGCGGCATTTTGGATCAACTGAAGACTTTAAAGAAGTTTATGGACACCCAGATTGCAATAGTCACTAAAATATTTTGGCCCAGGATCGGCCCAGACCGATCCCTGTAGGGTCTTCAGACTTTATGAAGGCTCTTGGCTCAGTCTCTTTTCATAACGAGACCTTTTAGTGCTCATTTTGGCATTCGTTTGTGTTTTACAGCCGGTTCTCCCCCATGGCCATTGACGGGGTGACCAGTTTGGCCGGCATCAACATCCCGGGACACGCCGGCACTGGCTGGTGCATCTTTGTCTACAACCTGGCTCCGGACGCAGACGAGAGCATCCTCTGGCAGATGTTCGGCCCGTTTGGCGCCGTCACAAACGTCAAGGTCATTCGCGACTTCAACACAAACAAGTGCAAAGGATTTGGTTTCGTTACCATGACTAATTACGACGAGGCCGCTGTGGCCATTGCCAGTCTGAACGGATACCGCCTCGGGGACAGAGTTCTGCAAGTCTCGTTCAAAACCAACAAAACACACAAAGCCTAAAACCGACTGAGATTGTAGAAAATCCACCAAGAATCGGGTAACGGAAGCGTACCGACCGTAACTTTCTACATTAGTACAACGGCTTTGTAATCAGTATTTAGCGCCCAACAGTGTGACTTTTTTTTTTCTTCATTGCTACTCTTTGGATCTTTTCATTCTAGTTTAAACAAAAAAATCCTGCAGGTTTTAAAGCCTGCGTTGTTCAATCTTTGCCGTCTCCACCGATGGACCATCTCTAATGTTACTCTAGGTTTTTTAATTTTTCTGTTCCATTTGTTGCACATTTCTTTAAACCCGTAAGTCTTGTAAGATTCTGTGTTGTGATTCTTTTGTATTTTTGTGTTCTGATTTGTGCGTTTTTAGCTTTGCGTGGTTAGCAGGTGCTTTTTTTCGAGCCGGTTTCGTTCTCTTAGCTTATCGTAATAAGTTGGTAATTAATTGGCTGCATAATGTTGCTTATTGTAAACTTAACGGATAAAAAGACAAAAAAAAAAAAATCCTAAAGCAGTACCTTGCCAAAGAGCTAAGAACCTCTTTGATGTGGGTTTAAAAAAGCATCTATTTTTATAAAAAGAAAAATTTGGAGAAACTTTTTACTGGACCTGGAACAAAAATATTTTGACTTGGGATACTTTGAGAAATATCTTCATACGACACCTTGTGAGCTTTTGAACTTTAAAAAAAGTTTGCATTGGTTGACATTTCTGGAGAGATTTATGATGTAAAAGATACCTTTTGAGATCTTTGTATTATCTTTAGATTACAGAATCAGTGACAGTGCTGGTTTCATTTGTAAAATCATCTGTGGGTCCTCCTCCATGCCGGTTGTCCCGTCGACTATTAACTCACTTTAAGATTCAATTTGCAAACAGACTAAAAAATAACAACAAAAAAAATTTAAAGAAGTGCATGCAAAATTCCAACAGAGATCTTAAAAGGTTATTTGGGGGATTGAATTGAAATCAGTTCTTCCTTTACGATTCCCTTCAGATGGAGTTCATGTTCTGTGGTGTACGATTTCATTAGACTGATTTTGTCTTAATATCAACCAATAAAGGTTTTTACATACTTTGTATGAACGAATGAGGACAAGCTGATAAAGGCAGCCGCATTAAAAAAGTCTGAATTAAAGGAATGACTTCTGAGCTCTGAGCTGTGTAAATAGATTTTAGTTTGTTGTATTAAGCAGACTTCTTTTGGTTCTAGTTTAGACTTCATTGGAAAGTGTTAAAAACGTTTATTTTAATTTTACTTTCTCCACAAGGTATGTACGAGTTTCCTTATTTGATCTTTGATCTTCAGTTTCCATTAGTTGGACTACTTTTCGTTCTTTGAACTAGCATAATGGTGCATTAAATTTGTCGTTTTTTGTTTAGTCTGTAGATAAGTCTCGCTTCTTTAAAAAAAAAAATTACTATAGACATTTTTTTTTATATGTATATAAATATTATAGATATATATTTATGTGGTAAAGAATGGATATAAACCACAGTTTTGAACTACTTTAGTTTTTTCATACTCATAAATATATATAAACGTAATGCATATAACCTGTCTTTAAAATCGTAAAAAGAAAAAAAAAAGGTGTATATTGCTTTATTCTCTTCGGGAAAGGACGGTGGAGCAGCTGCATTAACAGAATTGGTTGTAAAGTTAGACATGGAACATCTGGGCCACACAAACGGATGCTCGAGCCTTTAGATGCACTGAAACTGACCCTGCATCCTGCTTCCCAACCCGCTTCTCCTCCAACGAGCAGTGTGCTATGCATTCTAGAGTTCTTTGCAACTGCTTTTTTTTTTTTTTTTTTTTTTTTAAATCTACTCCCTCTTTGTGTTCGATTGTAAAAGTTATCACTTTAAAAGTCCAGATGAGTTGTGACACTTGCTGCTGTGAGGGGAAGAGAGGGCACGTTTTTCATGCCAGACTCGTCTGGGCTGGAAATTCTTTTTCTTTTTTCTAAACTTGATGATTTGGGCAGATTGAGCTGATGGTCAGGCATGAACAAATGTTCTCTCCAACCCCCTCTTAATCTCAATTCTTAATGGGAATCATTATTTATTTGGAGTTGTATAGTCTTGGTTCACAGCATTTTTGACATAGAATATCTTTTTGTTGACTATTTAAGAGGATGTACATGTTCTTTACTTTGTGTTTGGATACTTTGGATTTTTTCAATGTTCAGTACATCAATAAATAAGTTTGACGGGCAGTCGAGCTCATGAGATTTTTTATTTTTTTACTTTTTTATAGCAAGAAACAATGCTTAAACTAAAGTCACATGTAATTATTTTCTTTGGGTCTACTTTCAAACAGTTTCATGTTTAACTTGGTCGTCGTCTTTTGGTTGTTCCATCACAGTGAGTCATTGTCCTCCATCTCACTCTGTCCTCTGTCCTCCAACTACCTCCATGTCCTCCAACTGCATCCATATATCTCCTCTGTCTTTTTTTCATGGCAGCTGCACTTCTAACATTCTTTTACCAATATACCCACTGTCCCTCCTCTAAACATGTTCATGGTTCTTTGTCATTTGTATCACACATGGTACATGAGGTGGAACAAAATTGTGTACTCAAAGTCCCAGTTACACCCAAAAATGGCAAAAATGTTGACTATAAAAAAGAAACTGTATACAAGAATCTAAGATACACACTAAACCAGTGGTTCCCAACCCTGGTCCCTGAGGAACACCATCCTTCATGGTTCAGTTGTCCTGCTCCAACACGCCTGATTCAGTGAATTAATAACTTAAGTTCTGCAGAAGTCAGTTAATCACTCATTCATTCAAATCAGATGCATCAAAGCAGGTAAACAAGTAAAGCATGCAGGACGGTGTTCCTCAAGGACCAGGTTTGGGAACAGAATAATTCTTTTGGTTTCTCCCTTCTTTTAGGAGTCACCACAGTGAACTAAGTCGCACAAAAATGGGAACACAATATTACTATTAATGTAATATATAATGCAGTGTATTAAATAGCAGCCTGAACATGAGTCTGTTGTGGCAGATGGGCATGAATATAGCAGCTTATGGATAAGGAATCAGAAGCATGGATAATCAGCAGCACAGATAGTGACAAATCTCCAATTAAAGTGTCATTAAAGTGATTTTCCTGGTTAGGGATTCATGAGTGCCCTGAGATGACTTCTGTTGTGACTTGGCACTATATAAAATAAACTGAACTAAACTGAGTCTTAACAGCTTCAGGGTAGAAGCTGTTCCTCAGTCTAGTGGTTCTACACTTAACGCTCCGCAACCTCCTGCCTGAGGGGAGTGGGGCAAAATGTGTGCACGCCGAGTGAGTGGGGTCCTTCATGATGCAGGTGGCTCTCTTCCTGCACCTAGAGGTGTAGATGTCTGTGGTGGTGGGGAGTCTGACTCCAACAGACTTCTGTGCAGCCTTCACCACTCTCTGCAGGGCTTTTCTTTCTGCAGCTGTGCAGCCTCCATGCCACACGTTGATGCTGGAGCACAGGATGCTCTCCACTTCACACCTGTAGAAGGAGGTGAGGACTGAGCTTCCCAGACCAGCTCGACTCAGCCGCCTGTGGAAGTAGATTCCATTAGTACATATGTGTCAAACTCAAGGCCCGGGGGCCAAATTTGGCCCTCGATGACATCTGCCCCCCAAGATGTTATTTTAAATGTAAAATACTTTTATCACTTTAATTTTTTTCAGTAGTTTTTGATTATGATGAAAGCACAACAGTGAACATCAAATGAGACCAATCAAACTCTTGTTGAGGAACCTGAAACCAAGAAAAGATGTTTGGTATCGAACTTGAGTTAATGTAGATCCTGAAATCGGCAGTTTGAAAAGGTTTTAATTTTGGCTCCCTTTTGTAAGTGAGGTTGACACCCCTGCATTAGTTGATATCCAAACCATCTGTCTGGCCTCTGACTTTATGTCCCAGTCGGTCAACCTGTGCTGTCCTCACAATATACATTATATGAAGTGTATTTACTGTGCGTGGCGATACTAAAAAGTGAGTTGTCAACTCGGGTTTTATGACTCTGGATTTGTGCTCAAACTGACAGTTGAATGTGAAGCAACCAGAGATTGTGGTTCTCAACAGGTGGAGCGGTCCCTCCAGGTCAGGACGGTCTTTGCCTCAACTGAAGGAGTACTAGTTTCTGACGTCTTTGTTCACGAGCTTTGGATGGGTGAAATAATGGATCTCACCTCGTCGGCTGTAATGAGGGCGTTGCTCCAGTCTTATCGTGGTGACGCAGCTGAAAGTTGAAGCTCTTAATTTACTGGTTTGTCTGCATTCCAGCTCCCACCTATGGATTATGACCAAACGAGTGGATGACGTTGGCTTCCTTCAGATGGTGACTGGTCTCAACTCAGGGTGGAGCTGCTTCTCATCCAAACGAGTCAGCCCGAGTGATTCAGACATCTGATTTGGGATGTCTTTTTTTGTAGAGCTCACTGAGAGGAGAGTATTTGCATCTTTCTGGAAGAATCAACATCCCTTCTGATGTAGAAAAGCCTTGGAAATCCCCTATGTGCAGCTGGAGAGTTTGAGATGTCTCACGTTACCTCTGCAACCCAACAAGCTGAAGATGTGATGGATGTGTGTGCATTTGGGTCAACTAGAGTTGGAGTCTAGAGAACCAATCACAACAGGGTAAATGTTCAAACTGGGAAGACGAGGCCTGTGATCGTGAAAACAAGCTTGTCAAAGTAACCGCCATTTTATTAGAGCACATGATCTGTGAATTCTCTGCAGGTGCTTCGTTTTCTCAAGAGGACTCAATTGTAATGTTTAAAATACAACGGACTGTTTTTAAGAATGCTCTCTGTACTAAAGTCCAAAAATTTTTATAGATCCTGGTAAAAACCTTTGAACTTGGCAGGGGTTCCCAACACTGGTCCTTGAGGAACACCATCCTGCATGTTTTAGTTTGCTCCAACACACCTGGTTCAGTGGTTTGTTTGGCAGAAGCCTGTTAATCACCCTTTCATTCAAATCAGGTGTGTTGGAGCAGAAGAACAACTAAAACATGCAGGATGGTGTTCCTCATGGACCAGGATTGGGAATCACTGCTTTAAAGGGTTTCTTTTGTTTCACAGAGGTCTTTATCCATAGCTGTCTAAAACACTAATCCTGGTTTTCTTATCTTGCGTACTGTTTTTTTTAATAACTAGCCTTAAAATACTGACACTATAGTCAAAACATAAAATAACTTATTTAAAGCACTAACGGCTAATGGGTTTGCTCCTGTTACACATGTCACAGTAATGACTTGTATCAGTAAGGTGGTGGGGGGGGGGGGTGATTTCAAGTGGCTGAAGCTGAGTGTTCACACCTGCAAACTCCAAAACATTTATCAGTCGTTAGCTACCTGCATTATGTGCAGAATTCAATATTTATATTAGCAGAGTAGATGTTTGCATTGTTGTCCGTGGTCTTTTTGCAAACAAAGTAAACAGAGTAGTTTGACTTCTGTGTGCATCAATGTGTCTGAATGGCTTCATAAAGGTGATTGTACCCACATGTCTTTATTGTTTCATCAAGAAGTTTAATGGACTTTAAATGATTTCCTATTTTTGAAATAACCTTGTCCTTGTTCCAGGCCTTCCATGACATTAACTTGATTTTAAACACTGACTTGCACCTTCATCCGTTCATTGTCTTCTACTTACTCTGGTGTCGGGTCGTGAGGGCAGTAATTTAACTCTTAAGACGTTCCCAGGCCCGCCAAGAGACGTAGTCTTTTCAATGTGTCCTGAGTCTCCTCCCAGTTATCCAGAATACCTCCCCATGAAGGCATCCTTGAAGCATCTTTATTTGATTTCCAAGCCTCCTCACCCGACTCCTCTGGATGTGGAGCAGCAGCAGCTCTATTGAATCTCTCCTGGATAACTAAACTTCTCACCCTTATCTCTAAGGGAGAGTCCATCTACCCTGCGGAGAAAACTCATTTCAACTGTTTGTATCCACAATCTCGTTCTTTTGGTATCTACACAAAATTGTGACCATAAATGAGGGTAGGAACGTAAACCAACCAGGAAATGAAAAACTTTGCCTTGCTGCTCAGCTCCCTCTTCACCACGATGGACGGACCGACCTGCACGTGTCGGGGAGAACACTATTTTGATGCAACGTTGGCCGATGGTTGAATCACCGCTCAGGTGCTGACACAAAGAGCTGCTGCTTGAGATGAGTAGCTTCACAGTCCAAGGCTGGAAGGAAGAAAGAAGAGTTTATTAGATTTTAATTTTATTTTTTCAAGCTCACTAGAAGCTGACTTTACAAGAATAAAATGGTGCACTTTGAAGTGGGCTTCCTCACAGAGCAACCACCACCCTTGTATGTCACTTTGGGGACACCAGCTTAGTTTTAATAGGGGAAGAAAAACTAAATAAAATAAATAAATTGAGCTGTTTAGCTGCAGGAGATGAGGTTTTTCTGTGTGCACTGTTTACAAAGCTTTCAGATCCTCCAGTATTTACCGTTCCATTAGCCTTCCATTAATTTCTTCTGAAACCAGTCTTCACTCCAGTAAAGATACATTTTCTGCAGTTTTGAACCATCCAGAACGGTAATATTAAACTATTTGGTCTGTGGAGACTTCCAGGAATCAGATGGTGTGACAGCACATTTGTCTCTTCTCTCTTTCAGCTCATTATTGGCACGTGTTCAGTCTTGAGGCTCCTTTGAGCTGGATGTTGGGATTATGTCCTGTTGCTGAAAGAGGGATTAGGTTGAGCAGTCGATGACCATCACAGATTAGCTGTAAATTGAAGTTGCATCTAGTTATTTGGAAACCGTTAGCTAGGCCTGTCGCAATAAAAATAAATCAATTAATCGCATGATAAATGAAAATTATCTACCTCATTTTGATTTACTGGATTTGTTTCTTGGTGTCTCTACTGAAGACACTGGATGACAAAAGGCTCAACTCTAGTGCTCTTCACTGACTCCTCCTTTTCTCTTTAAAATCCGTTTTAACCGTCCAAAATCACCTTTTTGGGTCGTTAAAAACCGCGAAGCTGAGAAGCCAAGCTAACAGGCCGACCTTAGGGAAAAAACCTACGTCTTGTCCAAGCTCCAAAAATTCACGATTGAAACCCGTGCCTTCGTGTAAAAAGTTGTTTTTCCTCTGAAAAAAGAAGCTGAGAACTAGTTTACTGATTTTTTTTATTTTTTTTATTAAAAGCTTTGTGTGAAAAATTAATTTTAAGAACCAAATAAAGGA